TGTGTCCTTAGGCAAGGCACTTCACCCACAGTATGGTGGGTATGAAAGTGGTGAAAGTGGTGTGTGCGTGAGTGAACATGGTGGTCAGAGGGGCCAATGGCGCAGATTGGCAACCTTCAGTCAGTCTGCCCCAGGGCAGCTGTGGCTACAATAGTAGCTTACCACTGCCGGGTATGGAGTGAATGAATAATGCAGAATAGTTTAGTTCTGTGTTAGACCTGGTTCAGTCCTTGTTTACTTCTGGGTTAGACCTGGTTTAGTAAGTAAGTAAGTCTTTATTTATATAGCGCGTTTCACAGACATATGTCACAAAGACGCTTTAAAGAGCATTATTCATTCAATACCTGGTGATGGTAAGCTACTATTGTAGCCAAAGCTGTCCTGGGGCAGACTGACAGAAGCGCGGCTGCCATGCCAATCAGCACCATCACTCACGCACACACCACTTTCATACTAGGCAATGTGGATGAAGTGCCTTGCCTAAGGACGTCAACAGTTTTTTGCAACTGGTACCCCCCTGTGGCACCTAATTTTCCCAGTGGTCTCCCATCCAAATACTAACCAGACCCAGCCTTGCTTAGCTTCTGAGATCTGACAGGATCGGGCTTTGACAAACCGGTATGGCCACCAGACCTGGTTCAGTCCTGGTTTAGTTCTGGGTCAGACCTGGTTCAGCCTTGGTTTACTTCTGGTTTGATGCGGTTCAGTCCTGGTTTAGTTCTAAAATAGACCTGGTTCAGTCCCGGTTTAGTTCTGGGTAAGCCCTGGTTTAGTCCAAAGTAAAATATAGTTTAGTCCTCGTTTAGACCTGGTTCAGTCATGTTTAGTTCTGGGTAAGCCCTGGTTTAGTTCAAAGTAAATCATAGTTTAGTCCTGGTTTAGTTCTAGGTAAACCCTGGTTTTGTCCTAGTTTAGTTCTGGGTAAACCCTGGTTTGGTTCTGAGTTAGACCTGGATGAGTCCTGGTTTAGTTCTAGGTAAACCCTGGTTTAGTCCTAGTTTATTTCTGGGTAAACCCTGGTTTGGTTCTGAGTTAGACCTGGATGAGTCCTGGTTTAGTTCTGATTTGAACTAGTTTAGTCCTGGTTTAGTTTAAAGTTAGACCTAGTTTAGTCCTGCTTTAGTTCTGGGTTAGACCTGGATTAGTCATTGTTTAGTTCTGGGTTAGACCAAGTTTACTCCTGATGTTTCTCCAGATGTCCTAATTGAGGAACACTTTATTATTACTCTATTTACATCTCCAAAACTCAAAATGCTCTGTTCCACCTTGTGATGCCATGTAGTGGTAGTTTTCAAGTTAACAGCTATCTTTTTTTTTTAACCTTTATTCAGTAGAGATCCAAATTAGAAATTGAGATTCCAGGACCGAAATGATCCAAAATTATTTTAATGAAGGTGTATGGAGTTTAAAAGCATAGTGAAGCACTTCCTGTATTACCACATAACATTACAAGGTGGAACCGAGTTTAAGAGAACAACTAAGAAGCCTTAATATGAAGTATCTGCGCCTTAAACATGTGAACGGAACTAAACATTACTTCAGGTATATTATTATATATACAGGACTATTTTTAGTATCAATGAGTATCTTGTTTTGATACTTTTGACAACCCCAATGCAATGTATAATGTTGAAAATAAAAACAGCTATTGTGAAATTCTTTAAACTCTCAGCTGAGCTACTAAAACTATACTTTTCCCCAATTTACTGAACTATAAAATATAGAAAATGAGGACAAACAACTACGTAAAAGTAACATATATCTGCTCATGTGTGATATATCTGCTGCTATGTAACAAAAATAGATGATTTCAAAATAAAAGAAAATGTGTAAAAAATATATAGAATAAGATGGATACAAAGCATGTACATGAAAGCACTCTAGAGTCATTACAGGGATTAGAAGAGACTGAGAGCCAGATGAAAGGGACAAGATGAGTCCAAGTCCAAGTCTAAGATCCTGGTCAGGTTTTGGGAGTCCTGGTTTAGCCTTTCCTTTAATGTCCTCATCTCCAATGCTCATCTCCAAAAATGAGAGGAGCATGTCTGACTGTTTGAAACAAGATCTTCTCTGCATTATATAAACATAACAATGTTCACAATAGAGGCAGTCCTGCTAATTATGAAACATTAACATTGCAAAAACGTTTTACCTCAAGAGTCAGTCTTTCACTCTTCAGGTTTCTTTTGACACATCCAACGTCCATGTTGTAGACAGTTCTTTGAATACAGGTGTAAAGTTTGTGAGAGTCTGACGACCAAGTGCCTTGAAGTGTTCACCAAATTGAGCCAGGTTAAGGATGACATAAAAACCTTTGTCCTTCCCACTTCAGTCACAGGTAGAAAGGCTGTCCAGACTCAAGCAGCAAGAAATGTGTCCATACTAATCTGTAAAATTAAATATAGAATAGAAAAAATATAACGTATTAAAGTTACCGCCTTGCAAAACGGGCTATGCAATATTTAATGAGCCATGAATAAAAATTAAAAAGTAAATGTATAGTAAATATATTATGGTGCATACACCATTATTTGTTTGTTCCTATTAAGCAGGATATTCTGTTGCATGAGCTGTATGTTTTTGTATACAGGAACCATTGAAATAAACAACTTGAAGGGTAATTTGAAAAAAATGGAAGACACACAAGAAACAAAACACCTAAATGCCATTAATCACGAAAATAGAATGGGATTAAGGCAAAAAGTACTGGCTGCAGGCAGACAGGGCCTCGTGAGGGCGTTTAGATCGAGGCTACGTGAGATCGTGGACCCGCTGTTTGCGGTCTCCTCGAGAAGGAGCAGAGGCAGAGCAGGAGTCACCTGGTTTAGGCGTATGCCGGTGTCGGGTTAGACCTAGTCAAATGCGGGTCTAGTCCTTGTTAAAAGACGATTTCACCTCCTCTGGTGCCCAGTCCACTCCAGGCTACGAAGCGTATACCGCGTCCCCGCTGCCCGTGATGTACAGCCTGCAGAAACACCGGGAATTCCGACAGCTCCGCTCAGAGAGTCAGAGAGCCTCTCCAGTCTCGCTTAAAGGCAGTGCGTCGTAACCCGGTCCATCCTGGACACTTGTCACGGGGCTTTGAGGGCTGCTCTACGACAAAAACACGGACAGAAAGCAAATAGATTTTTGGCTTATAACAAAGTGTTACGATTTTGAATTTGTCATTTCAATAGGAAAATCGAATGCAATGTGAATGTACACGGACCCAAGTGCACACGAATGTCTGTCGCGTTTTTGCTTGTATGTTTTTTATTTGTTCAAGTAGCAGAATCATCAGTGGAACATTATTCGCTATAGTGGCACATGTGATAACTTCTTAACTCAGTAAAGCATGCACAAGGCTAAGCGCCAAGTAGCAGTTAATGCTAGCACAATGTTATGGTCAGACATTTGTACACTGTACAGTCCTGGTAAATTGAAATTATTTTACAACTAACATTTTGCAGTATTATAAGTAGAAAGATGCTACTAAGACATTTCAAAAGTTTTAACTTTCATGTGTCCACTCCCAGCTCAGTCCAACTCGCAAGTAAAATGGCTGCCGTCTCGGAGTGCAGACCATGGTCCAGGAGAATGGCAGAAAATTCCAGTGTTGGGGTTTATATATACAACTACTGGCAACCGTGAAATGTCTGTGCGTTGCCATGACAGATATAAACTTATTTTGATTTAACTTTACATTTCATTTGAGGAGAGAGGCGCTGTAAAACCATGTAAAAAACATGTAAAACCCAGACAACAGGTGACAACAATGACATAAACGTAGGAGACATTATTTTACCACCAACATTTTTGTATTTATCACTTGAAATAGCTCATAAATATGTCATAACTGTCTTAAATCATCGCGTTACATACACTGAGTGTAGGGCAGGCCTGTCACAAGGATTACAATGACCTAATGTATTATGGCGTAATACATTTACTTGAGTCACTATTTACAGATATTGTACTTTCTTCCTATTGTGAAAATACCAGACATGAGTACTATTTCATGTTTCATCCTCGCTATTGCATTAACTTTAAATGACAAATCAGGTGTTTCGTCCAGTTACTTTTAACTTAAGTTACCTGAGGAGTAATTTCCCCCGAATACTTTTACACTTAGCTACTTAACACATTTTTTGGACTTCTGCTTTTTACTTAGACTTGAGAAATATTTTTTTTTCAAGTAACGTTACTCTTAATTTAGTACAACCTGTGGCTATTTTACCCAAGTTTCATGGACATCAGTGACAACAACATTGACGTAAGTTAGCTTACTACTACTCAATACTACTACTAGCATTAGACCAAATATATTTAGTATTTTTATGAATTAATTGAACTGCTGAGTGTCTTAAAAAGGTAAAGTAATCTAACATCAGGTGGTTGGACTTAAGGCTCGTTGATTTCAGGTTCTGCTGAAAAACAAACGCTATTAAGCTGTTAGCTTAGCTTATTTTCGGACGGTGAAATGTGGCTTCTCTCTTGAAGTGCAGACGGAGAATAGCAGAAAATTCCAATGTTGGGGTTTATATATGCAACTACTGGCAACCGTGAAATGTCTGTGCATTGCAATAAGAGATATAAACTTGTTTTGATTTAACTTTACATTTCATTTGAGGAGAGAGGCGCTGTAAAACCATGTAAAAACATGTTAAACCCAGACAACATGTGGCAACAATGAAATAAACGTAGGAGACATTATTTTACCACCAACATTTTTGTATTTATCCCTTGAAATAGCTCATAAATAGCTTATATATATGCCATATGTCTTAAATCATCGCGTTACATACACTGAGTGTAGGGCAGGCCTGTCACAAGGATTACTATGACCTCATGTATTATGACCTAATACATTTACTTGAGTCACTATTTACAGATATTGTACTTTATTCCCACTGTGAAAATACCAGACATGAATATGCATATGAGCTTAGGGTTTTAACAATTTTATTAGTATAAACATGATACAGCAATAAGAATAAATAACAACTAGTATCTACATTAAGGCCAAGTCGAGATTCAACCGATGTCCCAGTACAAGGAATGCCTTTTAATCCATGTCATCAATGAGCACTTGGCTGAGTGTCATATTTGTGTTTTGATATATTTTAAAACCCATTCATTCTCTCACTTATCATGCAATTGAAACTCAGCTTTAAGGCAGTTTTAAATATAAATACAGTTTACATACATTAAAGTGTAATATTTGGTTAATATCTTAGTTACCTTAATTATGCAACTTCAGTGACATGGTTAGATTCAAGTTTTGTCTTCACAGAATTAATGAAGGGGTACATGCATTTGTCTGAACCCATAAATTTGTATGCGATCACATTGGATTCCCATGGCAACAACCTGAAAAAACAAAGACATCAGTCAGTTTCAGGGATCTTTGAATTGTTCTTGTTTACAATCACATGATATCCTCCTGCTACTCACGCTCTGAAGAGGACAGGTAAGTAAGTGAGGCGAGGGATGCACACCAGTGGTTGGTCTATGAGGATGGCGTTCATTGCCTGTTCAACACAGTACTGTGGCTCTAGTGGGGCGAGGAGCAATTCCACTTCCTCCCTATAGAGGGCATTAAAACACATTTTAGTTACGTATGTACTTTGACCAAATGTATTTAAATATTAACTTCTTATGAGTGAGTAGTACCATGGTGGGGATTACAAATATTTAGGCTATTATCATGTAAAAGTGACAATGTATATTAGTGGACATCTGTATTGAACAGATATACTATAGGACAGATTATAGCTACCAAGGACAGGAACAGAACAAATACAACACAAGAACAAGATTTATAAATGTTGTTGTTGATGCTATAAGTAACTTGTAACAGACCTTATTTTGCAGCCTTCAAACATGCCTGTGTCCACTATATAGGGGCACACCAGAGTGGTCTTAACTCCTTCCACCTGCTCAGCCACGAGCTCATGGGCCAAAGACTCATGGAAACCCACAGCAGCAAATTTACTGGCACAGTAATCCTGTCTCAAAAAAGAATACCCATTCGTATCAAAGTAAATGCTTTCATACAATCTAAATGTTTATCCCTCTAGACTTCACCTCAACACAGGCGGTGCTGAAGAGGCCTAGTACACTGGCAATGGTCACAATGTGTCCATGGTTCTGCGCTTTCATGTGAGGGAGGAAGGCTTTGACCGTCTGAAACACACCACACAGTGTTAAACATCAGGTAACTATTTCATTTGACTTTGCAGATTACTAAAACTAAGCAGTTTTAGCACACTCTGGTCTTACTCTTACTTACTAAGAGTAAGACCAGAGTGTGAAGGAGATAAGGCTCAAGGCACATACACTAGTGCCATTGTTTGGCTAAACCTTTACATTCCACAATCGTGCATTTATTTAACCCAAGTTATTAGGTTAAATAAAATGTTGGCTTTGTGACCTGTGGATTCAATATTATCATCTTTTTTACTCAATAGCTAGTTTAGCTTATTTATTGATTTGCAGTTGACTAGAAGTACTAAAAGCTTTCATTAGTCAAAGTGCTTGGTTTGAATGCTACAGTACAGCTCTCACCCAGAAGAGGGCATGGCAGTTGACCCTGAGTGTCCTCTCCACTAGCTCATCAGGACAGTCCAGCAGGCGTTTCCCAGCCACCACTCCGGCGTTGTTGACCAGCATGGTCACATGTCTTCCCAGGTCCCTCCTCACCTGCTCTGCCTTCTGGTACACATCTTCTCTGTTGGTGACGTCCACAGTGTAGGTGTGCACCTTACCCCCTTGCTCCCTCACCAGCTTGGCTGTCTGCTCGTTGGCGCTGTTGTTAACGTCCCACAGCACCACTTCTGCTCCGTGTTTGGAGAACTCTTGAGCGAAGAGGCGGCCCAGGCCTCCTCCTGCTCCAGTGATCAGCACTAGCTCTCCATCAATGGGCTTGGTGCGAGGCCTGAGCACTAAACGCACAGAGTTACGCAGGATAAAGTAGATCATGTCCAGAAGCATCATCTGCAGGTCCATTAAGAAGATCATTTTGACTAAATTTTGGGTTGACTAACCGTAGATCTACCTTAGAGTGAGAGCGCAGACAGCCAAGCTGGTGTTCTCCTCCAAAGAGCCCTGCCTCAGTCCAGGTTTATTTAAACTCTCCAGGATTAGAGGAATAACATGAGCTCAAAATAAAGCCACTTTTGTCATAAGCTCTGAATGGTCACTGCATGTGTAAGAACATAGTATTATAATGACTATAACATTCTTAAGTTCAAGAAGAGATTTCCCAACATTCCATGTGTGCACATGTTAGTGCATGTCATAGCACACCCCATAATCATTTCATAAAAATGTTGACATTTTAAATGCCAATATATGTATTATGATATTTCTTGTTAATTCAGATGTTATCACAGACAGGATCAATATGGCTGCTCCTGTGATGCTATAAAAGCTGTTGTGTTTAATATTAGATTGAGCATTATACACTATGAACTTTCTCTTAAATTCATTTATAGAGGGCAGCAAAACATCATGTGTGCTGTTCACAATAGTGCCATGACTCAGATCACATACTAGTATGAGCCCATTGGCCAATGCCGAATCTGTTGACAACTTAATCAGATTATTTTAGTGTAAATGTGAGCCTTGTTAGCTATTAAACTTGAAGGAGGCTTGTTGATGTCACGTTTTAGCTGAAAACAGGTGCCCCTTGTTCCGTGCTCACATTTGTATCTTTTCAATACAGTACATTCCTCCATATTCACACACAGGATTTCGAAGGATTTTGGGAACTATTGACATTTTTATACTATATTTAGTTTCTCAAAAGCGAAAAATAACCAATTTGATGCTTAATGCTTTGGGTTGTGCAATACACAAGCTGTAAATACATGATCAAAGTTAGTTAGTTTTAGTCTTAGTCTGGTGCAGGTCAAGTGATGTTGATCTCCTGAATTGTGCAATGCCACCCATAGTGTGTGAACAGTATATTCTTCACAGTGGACAACATTCACAACCATTTTGTGAGTGCTCGATGGAGTGCCTCTGCCCCTCTCCCTCTGGTCACTATCCCTTCACTCTGAATGCTGTGATTTTTGGCAGAGGCCCACACTGTCCTGTGTTGTTCTTTTGCATGACTAAGCTCATGGCACAGCGTAGTTGTTATAATCCGGTCTTTTCACATGTTTAGACAATCACAGCTTTGAGTCACAGATTGGAGGGGCCACAAGACTTAAGTTTTTAGAAAAAAGTTTTATTGGACTGGGGTATTGCCAATTGGCAATGTCTTGTTGTCATTTTAATTTATACAATATTTCTCAGGTTATCCAGAATGTCATTTGAATGTGCAAGTAATGCTCCAAAGAAGGGAGATCTTCAGTGAATTGATATGTTTCACCTTTTTTGATATGGATAATTATAGTAACTTATTCTACTGTTAAACTAAAGGTACATTATGTAACTTTTCTGGGCTGTTCAGATGCTATGGCTGAGATTGCACAGTATGCTATTAAACTTACTAAACAATTCAGTTACAGGTCTCTTGTCTTCTCTGTCAGATAAAGAAAAATCGTGCATTCATACTGGGAGCCTAGTCACCTCTACACAAATATGGCCTATAGATTTTTAGTTAATGCCATACTGTGGAACATCCCAGGCAAATCCATTTGTACAATTTCCATGGAGACAAGGAGGTGATGGACCCTCCAGTCGAAAAAATAAATGGTGCACATTTAAATTGTGAACATTTTGTAGAATGCACTGTCTGTGCCAACAGTTTAGCCAACAGCAATACCTTACTTGAATTTAGATAATTGCAACTCTTCAATCAGTTGAAGTCATTTGGTGAACTGTCCCTTTAAGAGAGGTACCACATGAAGCTCTAACAGTCTCATCATTGCTCTGCTGAAGTTTGAGTTGTCATTGCACATGCCCATTGACTCACTAAAGCACACATGGATCACTTAACTGACACTGTTTGTTGGCATTGTTAAGAAATATTGCCAAGATGACATTTCTCAACAGTCATGTCCTTTTGATTTTTTTGGAAATGTGCTTATTTCTGTTGGATTTTTCCCATTGTGGCTGCAGGGAAGCAGGATTATGTTGCAATGGCAGGGACCCAAGGTGTGTGACTAAAGGGTGGAAGTGGGACCGCTCTTTTGGGACGTGCTTCTGTGACCAGTCCTGTGTGTCCACCCAGGACTGCTGCGATGACTACAACACGGCATGCCCAGGTGGGTTTGGACCAAAACAGGATTTACATTCACTATTTAATCTGCTTACTTAAACAGAATTAATCATGCTATGGTTTTATTAGGGGACTTCACACTTAGTTGGACATTAATTAAGAAATGCAGATTTTAAGCATAGCCAGGGGAGGTACAGTAATACATGAGTTTATCAGCAGTGGCCTGTGTAGAGACTTCTGTCCATTGCTTCACAACACCATTTCATTGTGTAGCTATTACATGGGAATTTAAATAAGCTATGGGCCCTTGTGCAGACTTATCTCTTCTGGTGCACAATGGGACTTTTCTGTCTTCTTGGAGATATTATTGCTTTGCCTGAAATGTTCCATATATAAAATTACACTTGTAAAATAAAACCTTGTAAAACATGTGTTGTGGACCCTCGGCCAGAAAAGTAATATAATCCACCTATAAATATAAGGGAGTATTCTAAATAGTCGCAGTAAACTGTTGGTCAGTCGTCTTTTCTTAGTTACTTAGTGAAGTCACTGTTGTGTGGTGGGGAGACTAATTGTTGAATGTTAAGGTACATAATGTGTTATTTTGCCTGTTTTATCATCTAAGTCAGGCATAAACACATCTGAAAACCAACAATACTTTGAGGCTGTATTCTAAAGACTCTGGTGTTCCATCGATCCAACTATATTAGGTCACCTCCACATGTTAAAATTGTAATTCCCTGTGTCTAAGGGTTTCGAGAATAATTAGGACTGTTGCCATCTAACAGAAGGCTGAAACCCACGTGTTAAGTAATGTTTTTTCCTTGCTATAGCTGTGTCATGTGAGGTGAGTGAGTGGAGCCAGTGGTCAGGCTGTGCTGAGCCGTGCAGAGCCGCTGTGCGCAGGAGGAGCAGGAGTGTTCTGACAGAGAGGCTGAATGGAGGACTGCCCTGCCCTCACCTGGAGGAGCACGCAGGCTGTGCACAGTACTGGACCCAACAGGGATACTGCCATAACTCACTGGGTCTGTCAAGTCTTTGTCAATGTACTATCTGTGTATGGAAGTGAATACATGACATAAAATTAGACAGTTTTAGTCAGTGTGTCATTTGTTAATTAAGTTTGTTCATTTGAATATTCATAGTAGATACATAGTAGTTTTTATTATGAGCTGAGTGGGTCCCTTGTACCAGTATATGAATTTGCTGAATGAGTGAGTCTCTTGCATTAGTTTACCACAGGGAAGCTTTGGCTACATAAATACCTTACCAGCCCCACCAGATGTGTGGAGAGAATGAATGAGGATTACAGTGTGGTACAGTGAGGCTTGTCAAACTTCTAAAATGGTATCATGGATGGGATCATCATAATTTTGTTTAACCAGCAATGAGAAAGCCTATTCATACACCTATTTTCTTGCTTTCTTGTCAAATGTGCTGATAAACTTGTTATATATGTTGTTTTGAGGCAGCATTATAAAGTAGTCTGGTACTAGTCAGTTATAATCAAATTTTGGCCTCAAATAGTCAGCAAAGGGGCCTTATGTAATTATGCTTATAGTATTATAGCTTATATTTTCAGACTGTTGAAACTAAACATACATACCATACCACTTATCCAACAGTTCCAGCTCTCATCACCAGCAGTGGCTATGGCAACGCCCGGAAGAAACGAGAGATTCCTGACAGTGAAGTGACAGGGTAAAACACGTTGTACCATTTCCAAAGTACATTAAATGACACGTCTGCATTTAGAGGGATGAGTCAAGGAGCTGCGATTTCACAATCTGGAAAAACGAGGGAAGATAGGGTGCATAGTTGAAGAGGGCAGAGGAACTGTGAACAATACATTGTAAAGCAGTTTAATCCAACGGTAATACTTTGAATGTACAACTCAGGAGCAAAAAGTGGGCTAGCATGAATGTAAAACTTTATTAGTATTTTACTGAAAAAAGTAATTTTTCTTGTACAAATTGTTTCATTACTTCTCAGTCACTGTAGGGTTTTGTTATGACACCCTATAAGACCAGCAACGCATATTAAATCCATTGAGTCTAAAATAATTTTCATCTGATTCATATATTGTCCTGCCTCTGTAGATACTGTGTGCGGTTCCAGCTGACCTCTCTGACAGCAGACTGTGCTCAGAGTAGGGGACCGCACACTCGATGGATGCAATACCTGAGGGAAGGGCATCAGGTGTGCGTGGAGTGCCAACCCCCTGCACTGGCCCAGGGACAGGCCCACTGCGCTGGAGATGGAGAGAGTCTCTACAGCAATGACATTAGGTAAACTCACAACAAAAAATAAGTTATATGTACAGGCCAACACACTATAATACCAGTTGGTTGCACTTAAGTATACAAAATGAATATGGTCTGTAATAAAAAGGATTCAGTGCTGATTGGAAATAAAATTTAGTAAAGTAAAAAAACGTAAAATACAGTTTGCCATCGAAGACTTAAAAACAATACTTATTCACTTTTGTGGTATTATAAATTGCCAAAATATTACAACTGAGATAATGAAACAAGAGATATTTATTATTATAGTTCCTTTTTGCCCATCTCCAGCTACAATGGAATTAACTCAAAAACCAATTTCAAAATAGTAACATAAGAGTACTTACTCTCTCCACCACCAGATGTCAGCAGAGCTCCCCTTATGTCAAAGTGTGACTGTGCCCCGTGTCTATGGCATGGATTATTAAAATAATAAAAAACTATTAAAATAATAATAATTGGTTGCAGGTTTCCGTCTCTCCAATGGCGGGCCGTGGGGAATCCGCGTTGCAGAGGCGTGTGGAGGCGCATGGAGCGGCTCGAAACCTGCTCGTGTCCCACAGCTCATAGCTTCCTCTTCATCTGATGATACAGCCTCAGGATAACAAGGACCAGGCCAACTTCATTATGGATAGAATAGGTATAGGTCTATTGAGGATATTATACTTGTTTTTTTATTATGCAAAAATGTCAAGGCTACAAAGTATATTATAAAGTGAGTTATAGCAGAAGATAAGGCTAAGTTGAACATAAATGATACAGACTTTTAATTAGTGGCACATTTCTTCTCCCAAAGTCTGAATTCATCTCCAGACTGCGTGCTTTTACTGTTAAATTAAAATGTGATTAACTGCACAGGCCTCACTGTTCTATTTTTGTAAGCACAAAATATCCTCTATTGCTGTTATGAAAAACTACTCCTAAATCCTTCACATCTGAGTATTCCATAAACTAGCTGTCTTTGTAGCACGAGGGAAGAAAACCCTTTTTGATTTGTTAAATTTGAACCGATCTAGCTTAATGTTGTGACCATATGGCTTTTAAACATAGGTTTTCGTTTTATTATGTGTTTTGACAACCTGCCCAACTTTGAGGATCTCACCCACAGTATTGTGTCACGGTGAGAAGATAATAGGCCTTATTTGCATATCAGTGGTCATATAATGGCAATGATTGATGTCGTACACAATATTTCAGAATTATTTAACACCAGTAATAAGTCAATCAAACAACATCGAAAAGTAAAGTGATTCAATTTATTTCCTTTTTGACTCATTCAAGGGAACTGTTGCTTTTCTTAAGAAATAAAAATATCTTGGGACATTGAGACACTTTTTTTAAAACATGACAAGTACTGGCTCTTGTGTGTGAACTTCACCAGTCACAACGCCAAAGTTACAACATGCACTGAACAGTAACATTGATACAGAAACGACAGCTTAGAAAGTCAACAAGTAAAAAGGTTTTGTTTCTTGTTTTTCATTTACAAAACAGACAGCCTCGGGACCTACAAACAACATAGTACAAGAGCTGGCTAAGAGATAATATTTCCCCTGTTACACTTTACAAAGATGATGGCTTAGGCAAGGTTGGGGTCAATTCCTCTGAGTATACTCTGTAGAAAAAATAGAGCTTTTGAAACATAGGGTTTTGTAGATTGAAATGTATAGGATTTTGTGCTGTTATTTTGGCTCTGGTTTATTGTAAGATGTCCGTATTGTTCTCCCGAATGGACCCCAACCCTGTAATACAGTGCTCTAAATCTGCAAGTGTGATATTTGGAAACTACAATGTCGTGTAAGGGATTATGAGTTAAAACAATGGGAATAGCAGCTAAAGGAACAATTAAATTAATCTAAATGCATTATACTGTACACTTTGTGCTCTTTTTCTTTGTCTTTTATATAGTGATACATCCACCTATCTTTCTCCATGGGGATTACAGTCAACTTAAAAGTGATTAAAAGAGTGAAAAACTATTTAAGAAGGTGCTCACAAAGAAAAAAGAGAAACAATTTTTTTGTGTTATGATCTCACAGTTTCGCCGTCATAACATGCATGAATTATCAATACAGTAGTGTTTTAAAATGGCAGTAAGTATCTATTATGTTTACAGACATATTCCCATTCCAGTGTGTGGCCTATTCACAAACTACTGATTGTCTTTTATTGTTGAGATAGAAGTTTTCTACGGTCCCTGACTACAGTTAAAGATAAGTCTATAAGCTCTGAATACTGAGTTTTCAGAATAAAACGACCCTGTTTTCATGTGATGGCGAAGCAATGAATAATTAAAATAAGCAAGCATATAGCGAATTTTAGTGTAAACAACATCAAAGCATAAGTAACGTGGTAATGGTTATATTTCATGAGAACTTTAGCCACTGAAAATGAATGAAACCATAAACCAATAAATAGCAAACCAATAAGTGTATATATATCAGTGCCTGGATAGAGAACAGCAATGGAAAATAAACAGCACTGTATACAATCCCGCAAGTTATCTTAATATCAAACCGATCCCTAGATGCTATTATTTATAAGATAGTTTAATTTTCTTTTTGTTTTATTGATAACTCATTGGCCATTTAAAGTATAAATCTGTTTTTGGTACTCACGATCCTCTTCTAAAAATGAACGAGAACAGCTACTCTACAAAATGCTTCCACAGCTTCCACCCTTCCACCCTAATTATCAAGGACGCAATTAGCGCTAATTGCAGCTATAAATAAAATGGTTAAATAAGGATCCCGATTGTAATGTTCTCTACCTGGTAACTGACATAACACACAAGCAGCGGACTGACATTCAAAAGCAAAACTATTCTCATACATACAATTTGAATTTAATTTGATATATAGCACTTTATGCAAATGTGTCTGATTCGCTCACTGCTTTACAATGCTTGTGCAGCCATGTTGTTTACAAGTTGGGAACAAAACAAAAACATGCATTTCTGTATTGTAAACTATGGTTATAAGTTAATTTACCTTGTGCTCATGGCTTCATTGTTATGTAATCCATTGTGTGCGAAATGAAAAAGCTGCAATTCTCATCTATAATGTACAGTCATCCTTTTTAAACCACTTTTTAGCTACAAGTAAACAAATTAGGATTCTGCTTACGTAATCATTATTTCCCAAGTGTACAATCGTTTCTCAATTAGCATCTTAAAACCTGTATACAAGGGAAAATGTGCTCAGAGAATATGGTAAAACAGAGGATTCCCAGAGCATGCATGCATTGGAAACTGTTCGTTCTTCACCATTAGGCAGCATATCCCCTTTGCTCTAGTGCCCCAGCCACACATGTACCTTTGCAACACACACACTTACACGCTAGCGTCTCACAGTCATTGCTATTCTATTCACACCGCGCCTCCTCTCAGTCACTATGGGCTGAGCAATATGAAATGGTTCAACTGCGCGATTAAAACAGGAAATGAAATCTGGTAGGGAGCACTCTAAAATATATGTCAAATTACCTTGTGTGCATTTTGGAACAGTGAAATGTAGAGCTACTTAATGTAAAGCTTACACAGATTTGGTAGTGTATAAAGACATGCTATGTTACTTTTTCTGATGGACAGAACATCATCTGCTTGTCCCCATGGAGATGTTACTGCTTTACCTGAATTCTTCCATGGCATTTCTGATTTATCTTGAATTTATTCAATTACAGCTATTTTAACTGGTAAAAAACTGCATTCAGTGAGCAGAATTTGACCTATAACTTATCCTGGTGGTGTCCCCCTCTTGTCTTCATGGAGATGGATATGTTTAACATCATACTGTACAAAATTCCAAGTAATGTAATAACATCTACAAGGTTATAAGCAAGTTCTAGACTCTCCACCAGAAAAGTTACATACTGCACCTTTAAATGAAAACAAACAATGAATAACAGTGTTTTTGTTAAGAAATTGAACCTTTTTCTTGCAGCAAATTGCCTGTTGTTTATACCAGTGTGCGTGTTATGTAAGGTGTTAGAAAACAAACAATGAAGTATGCCGAAAAAGAGAAAAAAGCAAAGCATTTGGGCGGTGCAATAGACACTTGCTACAAATTATCATGAATGCAAAATGACCACATTGTATTTTGATGGGGCCATGCCTGGGTCACTCTACTTCTTGTGTGTGAGCATACATTTCATGCAATCAAGCCTCCTGAAGCCCAATTATCAAAGCGACGCAGAGCTGTGATGAACGGGCAGCTGTGGTCACCATGGAAACTAAGTGTGTCTGTTTTTTTCCAGAAGATTGTCTTTAATACCAACGTATGCGTATTTGTAGACGGTTTGTGCTGATGTTTTTTTGAACATCTTTAGTTTATTATTGAACTGTAAAATCTAATTGATACATGTCATCTGTGGTCTTTGGCTGCCTTTGGAGTTACATAGACCAATGCATGCTGGAGATCTTGGGAGTCTGGCCAGCCAAACCCTTACAAAGAACAACTGAAACCTAGTCAATTCTTCTTGAATCATGATGCTAATGCAAGGTAAGGAGGGTAATGTTTTTAAAGGCTGAAAGGCTTGAGTCAGTGACCTCAGGTTCAGTAAAAATCATGACTTTTGTAGATCTGAAGCACTTTGGCATGCAGAGATTTGTCCTTTCTCATTTTTCAGCCCTCTACCAATTTCTCAATAAAGGTTTAAACTGGCCAGGCTCGTTACTTACCGAAACTAAACACAAAATGTTGTATAAAAATATTGGATTATTTCATTATGCATAAGTTGTGAAGAACTCAATATGTTGTTATGGTAGCGCATGCATGCATCATTCATGTGCACTTTAAGGAACAAAGAAACTGCTGAAGCAGTGAGAAAATGCTTTTTAACTTATACTGAAGTGAAGATAATATTCACTAGTGTAGATATGAACAGAATACTGTTGAGCATTCCTTGTCATTGGTGATTGACCGCAGTGTTAGATATCTGCAGCCATTGTTCCAGGACATCAACTTATGCACTATTCTCAGATCAAATGTTAAGACTTTCAAATCATTATTTCTATACATAACTCTCTCTTATCTACTTCTTATAAAAATAAATCAGCTAAGACAATCTCAACAGTGTATTCACTGTATCCATTCACACTGCCATGCACACTCGAGGACATGCACACGCCCTACAAACGTCGATGACTAAGGCCAGGATTGGGAATGGTGGGCACAAGTTAGTAGCTTATAGGCTTATAGGTCCTCTCCTGTATTTCCACTACAAAATGTGACTTGGGACAGGGGGCAGTTGGATTTTTTTTTCCCTTTTCGAGACAGAGACTCCACATTCAGCACAGAAAATTCATAGCTGTGAAAATAATTCCCAAAGGAATCTCAGATCACATCATTTGGCTACCAGGAGGGCTCTGAAGTTTTCCAAAAAGTAAAAGTATTAGGAATGAACTGAAGACGGGGCAGTGACATTCTAAAATTTAAAGGTGTTCCCAGAGTATCCACCGCACCACTCTTTTTCTAACCTAAACCCCCTGGTGGTGTGTTCAGGTAATGTAGGCTTTGTTTTTAGCCACAATTCTCATCCATTATGAGTTTTTTTTTATCTACCAATGAACCTCAAAGATTTTTGTCTAAAGTATTTTGCCGCCCTCTGTCCCCCTTTCGTCCACGTCCCATCTCAGGTCCAACGTGGTTCTCGTGAATACCCAATGGGAACAAACAGTTTTGCCCCAGCATTTTTTGTGCTGTCTCAAAATGGTTGGTGCCCCTCTGGTAGTTCCTGCTTATGTTGCACTTGGGACTAGATCTTGAAAGCAGCCTTTCTGATGGGCTTGTGTCCGAAACATCCCTGTGATGTTCATCGTCATCTGTGTCCGCATCAATGTACTTACTGATGGATGAGTCATGGAAAGTGAAAACTGTGGGCCCAAGTGAAGCGCATTCAGGGGACTTGGGCGGGGTCCTGCTGCTGGCGGTGGTGTAGACTGAAACTTCTGGGCTCAACAAAGAGTCTGACAGAACGGACGAATCCGAAAGAGGGGAGGGTCCAGACTCCCCATCACTGCGGCTACTCCCTTTAGACACAAGAACCTTTGAGGAGTTTCCAGAAAAGAACAATTTCTTGGCAGTTTCTGAACATGTTGGTTTTGTGACTGAAACTGGCGTGAGTATGGACTCTGATGTGTGCTTTTGACCAGCTGTGATGCTAGCCTGACTGGGCAGTGCTATGACAGGACTGTGCGAGAAAAGGTTTGTCTCCTGAGTACCCAAGTCTATTGTGGGACCATGTGAGAAACGTGTATTTTCCTGAAAGTCTGTGGCACAACTGATGTAACTGTCAATGCTAGACAAGCTTTTCATATCCCCAATTCCACCTAGAACCACTGCACCATGGTCTTGAATTGGGTCTAGCTCGATCTCATCTCTGTGCTTGCCCACCCGGGACCCTTTAGCGTTCAGATTGGGCTGTGATTGCGTTTTGGCCATCTGGTTATACATCTCCTCCAACTTCTGCACATTGATTCTTTGGGGACTCCTGGACTTGCTTGGAGAACCCATCTCTTGAGCGTTAAATGACCGATTTGAGCTTGTTTCTGAGGGCTGTCTCTTGGGGGTCCACTTCCACTTACTCGGTGAGAGATGGTTGTCATGTGGTCTTTCACTTTTCTCCACTACGACGTCCATCAACTCTGCGCTACGGGCAAACGCCTCCTTTAGATTCATGGACACAATGCTACCATTACGTTTCGCCCTTTCCAGTGCCTCCCTTCGTTTAAGTGCTTTCTCCTGCCTCTTCTGCTCCTTGTAAAACTCTGAGAAGTTATTTACAATGATTGGGATAGGTAGGGCAATGACCAATACTCCAGCTATACAACATAATCCTCCAACTATTTTCCCAAGCAGAGTCTTTGGATAGATGTCTCCATAGCCAACAGTTGTCATGGTGATCGTCGCCCACCAGAATGAAGCTGGAATGCTTTTGAACTTTGTGTCTTCTTCATCTTTCTCTGCAAAAAACACCAAGCTAGAAAAGATCATTATCCCCATAGCCAGAAAAAGAATAAGTAGACCAAGCTCATTGTAGCTTCTTCTGAGAGTAAACCCCAAAGACTGTAGACCGGTGGAGTGGCGAGCCAACTTCAAGATTCGCAAGATTCGCATGATCCGGAAAATCTGCACAACGCGGCGGACATTTTGGAATTGCAAGACACTTTTATTGGATTCTGTTAGGAATATGGTGACGTAGTAGGGGAGGATAGCCAGCAGGTCAATGACATTTAAAGGGCCTTTGAAGAATTTCCATTTGTTTGGGGAGGACAGGAAGCGGAGAAGGTATTCCATGGTGAACCAGGCGATGCACACTGCCTCGATGTGGGCCAGCTGGGGGTTGTCTGTGGACTGGCCGTACTCGTCTGTGTCTTGGAGCTCAGGGAGGGTGTTCAGTGATAAGGCGATGGTGGAGAGAACGATGAAGAGGATGGAGATGATTGCCAGAATCTGTGAAAAGAAGAGGAGAAGATACTTTCAGTAAGGATTTAAATAACTTTTTTGTGCTGTTATAAAAGAGTTGTCACCTTTTAGTTAAACTTTGCATCCCAGCTAATTACCTTTCAAGCATGAAAATAACTTTCTCTCAGTCACAGTCACCTCACCCTCTCCATCTCTTCTATCAACATATGTCCCAGAGATCACATCCTGCATGTCACTCATCTTAAGAATCTCTAATGTTTGTGGACTGGTTGGAATAGTTTCATTGACCCATTATTATACTATTACTAATACATTTTTTTATATCCACTCTAAAGGGCTTTACAGGTCTGGTATTATATTTGAAAAGTACTATAAATAACTATAAATAACCATATCGGCTCATGTTGACACATAGCACACTAAATCCCATATGTTTCAGAGTTGAGAATGAATCAAATCATGCATCTCCCGCTCTTTTTTCCTTCCACATGTGCAGTATTACACAATCTGCCTCTTAGTGTTGGGTGATTCAATATCGATTAGGCATAAATTGTATGCCAGAGGTCCCTCCTGACCCAATCCTGGAATTCCATAACTGGAGATTTGATAAGAGTCTAGTTGTTATGAAAATATGCAAAGTCACTGTCTGTTTCATTCTCCCACCTGGAATGAATAAGGATATTGCAGAGATCCTGGGATAAACTATGTAATATAATGTGTATTCCCAGTAATCTGTTCTATCAAAACAGCGGGAAAGTATATATTGAAAAAAATGCAAACCTATTGAATTTATTGTACTTGATAAGATGTGTTTGCACGAAGAACCACCTTAGAGAATAGCTGACTTAACAAGCTGGCAAACCATGTTAATAAACCTAAACCGGGTCTAAATAATGGCATCAAGACTAGGTGATGGCTAATCTGGGGTTAAACGTGGTACTGTTAGCAGAATCTGAACCCAGTCTTTTAAGAAATGTCAGTAACACCCAACAAAACCAACATTCAGAATTTAATATTATTGTCATTCGGATAGTACTAACACAAGTGAAGGTATGAATGAAGCACTCCATAAATCCTACTATGTCCAAATGCATATAAGGTCAAAGAACTGCACCGCAGTGGTTATGCTACATTGATATGCTACTTTTTTATCTTACATTGCTATTTTTCTTTTAAATATTTCTAGACACACCTTCCTGCATTAAAATGCTTTTCAGTAAAAGCCTAGAGCTCAGTGCCTGCCAATATCCTTCACAAATCCTGTTACAGATATAGGATGACACCTTCTAGTGCAATATCGCATTATGAAGGATGTTAGATTAGAATCTTCAGTTTGCTCCATCAAGATGTGACCAATCACAGACTTGGATTCAAAGGCATGTTGAGTTAGCGATGCCATTGTTGGTGGATTGAACACAAGTTAATTTCCTTCAAAAATAACAACAAGTAGCATAAGACTTCATACATAAGGCTGTATACTTGATCAAGAAGACATCTTTTAGATATAAATGTAGTTTCCTAGTTTTTTCTTTTCTCACAAACCAGTTGTTCAGACTAATCATCCAAAGAGCAGCTTTGTGAACTTGTGTATGTGTCATACTTCCTTTACAAATTATCTGGAGCAATTCGCAGCAAAGTGGGCACAAATAGGCCAACAGCCACATTACCCTGACAATACTATAATAATTCACTAACCAGATTTAAAGTGATAGCTTAAGAGGCTTGACTTTATCTACAACCAATCAGAGTGAGGGAGACTGTTGCCATAGTGTTGTGGCAGCCTGAATAATAGCCTGTTATCTGTATATTTCTTCTGCAACCTGCTCCTTGTGCCCCAAAGGAAACCTATGTAAATCCAACTTTAACTGGAGATGTTAGGCCCAGGAGAGACCAGGGCGGAACAGCAGCTTTACAGTGAATGGAAAAACACAACACAAAAAACAAGCACGACTATTTTAAGCATCATTATTTTGTACATATGTAGGTTAAGATAATTAACCCCAAAAGTAATATTGTACAACATGAACATTTTATGGAAAGGTCATGTTAGTCAACATACACAAACTACCTTATGTATACATATCTAGCCCATATTATGGGCTAGATATGTATGTATTATATATTTATTTATTTATTTACTTAAAGAAAGGTTAAATTTCAACCGAGTACAGAACATATGTAATAATACTCTAATAGGACTACAGGACTAAAACTATCTGGTGGAAGCTGATGTGGTTCTGTGAATAAAGAATGCATATGACAATGTTTTTGTTTTTTTTGTGAAGTGATATGCGGAAAGTTTTAAAAACAGAACATGGAATTGCAAAGTGTTTGGGCAAAGCTTTAAAACAGATGCCCTTTATGCGACTCATATTTATTCAACCTTGGAAGCAGCAAAGTCAGCTGGCTTGTTCTCTATTTGTGCTTGGATTATATGTAAAGCAAAGTGGTACAAATGATTACCCATAAATACAAAAAGCAATGCTGTATTTTTGAACACAATGTTTGAAGCTCCAAATTGATCAAATATGACTATTTATAGGCATGGAGAACAAGTACGTGCATATTTGATTCCTGACAACATACAAAAGTTGACTTGGTCTATTTTTGTCTCAAGATCAAACCTTAAAAAGGCAGTGACTTTGGGTGAATCCATGGTGATGGCCTATTAAAAGAGGGTGGTGCCAGGGGACAGGCCTATCTGGAGGAGAGAGGACACATTGACTAAAGGGTTAGAGGCAGAGCAGCAGAGTGACAGGAAATCCCACGGAGAGCTGGAACAAAGCCCTGTTCTGTCACGATTATGGCGAACTGTCATGTCCCTCCTCAGACACCGTGCATTGCACTGACGCCATCATCTCAAGACAAGGTGACATTAAGGCTTAGAAAGACTGAGCCAGTATGAAGAACATGCTTTATCTTATTCATGGTTTAATCATTTACTTTGACTTTTAGATTTCTTGTGATGACTTTTCATATGATTATATTACAAAATATTACAAAAGCAATAGTGTGACCCAATAGAAAGGTGACTAAAACTCTACAAATGAATAAATGTAAGTTATTTATATTATCGGCTCCATTCATACTTACACAAACACTGCATCAAAACTGGTACTCAACTAAGACTAAACCAGGACTAGAAAAGGATCAAGCCAAGTTTACATCGTGACTAAACTAACTTAAGATAGAAACAAATGTGGACAAGTATGAATGCTGCCACAGTGTTAATAAGACTTTCAGGATCACTTTTTATTATGCTAGAGGTATACTGTAAAGGTCATTTAAGTGTTACCATCTGTTTTCATTAAATATAATTAACTATGTTAATTTTCTATTATGAATCAGTATGTTAAAATGTTGTAAAGTGTTTTTTGACTTTTGCATAGTTTCCATACAGTTGTGTTGTTTTCCATCTTTACAGGATTAGCTGTGTGAACTTGCTTACTGTTGGTAGCTTTTGTGGAGTGAAGATGCAGCTCTTTGTGAGGTGGCTGTGGCCCAGTAACTGTGAATAATCCTTTGTCCAGAGGTGCTGTCAGGGTCAAAGCCATACATCAGTGTTTTCCCAGGTGTACAGAAAACCTTCAACTTTGCTCATTCTGAACAACTGAACTGCTAAAAAGTATAAACACAATAAAACCATGGGTTTTAAAACTCAAGGTCTAGTCTGGTTTTTCAATGGGAGACTTAAGTCTTAAATTGTACTGCAGTGCTTCAATTAGAAGACCTACTGCTATTAGCTACAATTCTTAATACTGCTTCCAAGGGTAAAGGTTATTTTTTATTTTATCTGTATTACTGACCCATAATAACAATATGTTTTTGTTTTTTTTTAAATAATGGACAATTCTGATTATTTAGAATCTAGAGCAACCAATTGAAGCCTATTTTTGGGCCAAGTTTGATTATTATGTTGTACATTGTCATTTAAATTTACTGCAAACTCACCCACAGTCCTTTATTACCACAAACTTTCAGGAGAGCTGTGTAGTCACACTTTGTGCAATTATCTAGGCCAAACAAATATAGAAAGTGGCCAATCTGCAAAAAAGTACAAATATCAACCTAATATATCAGTCTATCTCTAATCCATAATGTGCACAAACAAACAAAAAAGAAAGGTTTATGAGTTGTTGAACTATTGATGGGTGTAGTTGAACGAAACAGTCTTGATAACTTTTGCTTTCTAACTTGTGCCTTCCTTGTTCCATTGAGCCTGACCTGCCCCAGAGGTTTGTATCTCACAGTGCATTAGGTTTGGGCTGTCCCAAGAGGCAGCAGAGGAACTCCCTGCTCACTGCTCCTCACTTGGCACCTCTCTCATTAGCAGCAACAGGAGCTACACTGACTGTAGTAGTGCTGTCAGGGGAAGAGCTGCTCCTCTGACAGGTCTGCACACTGGGACACATACACACATCTACTACTACCTCCAACAAAACCAAGGAAAATGGAATGGAATAAAATGCCATCCTACTCTGGAAAGGCAAAGAATTTAGTATGACTATAAAAGCTCTAAAAACACTACAATATCCTGCATGTATCCTGTAATGATTTTTTATTCTGATCAACAATTTTGTTAGGGGCAATGAACATACACATTCTGTAAACACACCAATTTCCATTCGACTTGCATTCAAACAGTTGTGTACACTGGAGGTAAAGCAGAAAGTGTCTTGCCTAAGGACACAGCAATAGTACATACTGCCGCTCCATCTGGTATTCCCAACCATCTCCCATCCAGTGCTAAACAGGTTTCAAGCATTCTTAAGGTGGTATAGCCTTTAATAATGATTCACTTCTTGGGCACAGTCAGTCAGTGTTAAGTCTGAAGCCACAGCTGCGCTCTTTATTTTTAACTATTGGCCCTGCCCACTTAGTCCCATCTCTCACTTAATATTGCACCGTGAGAGACATACAACTATCTGGGATACTCACAGGCAGTTGTCTCTACATGTTTCCCATCCATCGATAGTCCTGATTGGCCTCAACAACATGCATTTCTAACTGCATATTAGCATCATTCT